CTTGGGTGGAAATTATTTTGTAAAATATAATTTGGCTGCATAAAAGAGGATTTCAGAACTGATCTAGGAAGAGATTTACATTTGTCGCTCTCTAGGAGAATTTATCAGATACCACTTTCTTCTGAAAAATACTGGATTAATGAATGGATACTGAGATTAGAAATCTAACATACTCCTTGGGCAACATGCTAGCTTCCCAGTATTACATTTTTTCCGCACAGTTCTGGACTGTAAATTAGACTGTCCTCTCATATTCAAGATGATTGATTAGGGCCCTCAGTCAGCATTCCTCTAGCCTCTAAATGTAGCATTCTTGCTTGTTAAAATTATGTCATAATATACAAATAAAGTCATACATACACAGGCTACGTCTACACTGTCATGCTATTTCGGGATATCGGAGTAGCCCGAAATAGCAATCCCGCATCTTAACAGCAAGCCCATTATTTTGGGCTCGCTATTCCAATGTCCTTGTAAATCTCATTCTGTGAGGAGCAAGGGACATTTGGAATAGTAAGTTATTTTGGAATTTGGCACTGTGTGGACAGTGCCAAATTATTAAATAAACTATTTCAAAATAAGATTGAAATAAGATACCAAGTTTAGATAGCTCAAATTGCACATCTTATTTCAAACTACGGTGCAGTGTAGATGTAGCCATAGAGATGTCACTTCATCCACCGCTGAAATGCAGTCACATCTACTAAGAAATCTGGCTGCTTTTTAACAGCTCAGTTTATCTACTGATGTAAATAAGTGCAGCTGTCTTCAAATCAACAGAGCTATCCTAGCTTATCAACTGAGAACTGACTCTTTGAATTTGACCTAGTGTAAACCTGGGAAAATCTCTCTCAAAGACATCTTTATAACTCCGTCCTATATACCTGACATATCTTCATAATTATTGTAATCCAAATTTCATCCCTATCCTGCTTCAAATATTTTTCTATAAGCATGCCTCTTTCATAAGGGTTTTCCCATTAGAACATACACTCACCAATTTGTGTTTGTTGTGCCCTGTCCCCGCCCTACCAGGGGCGCTCAGCAGCTGGAGAGACATGCTGACTGTTTTAAAACAGCCTGTGTGTCTCTCTAGCCACTGCATGTTCTTGTGGGGGTAGGGAGACTTTGCGTACTCCCCTGTTCCCAGGCCCTGATTGGCCTGAGGGGTGGGAGGTGTGTGTGAGATCTCTTCCCACTGGGTGCCCACAGAGGAAACCGGCAACTGTTTTAAAACAGCTAGCAATTTTCCCTAAGGGGTGGGGTGGGAGAAGGAGGGGGAAGACTTCTTGCATTCCCCCAACCCAGGCCAATCAGGATGGGGGGAGCACGAGAAGTCTCCTGGCCCCACCCCTTCCGCCCAAGGTCCTACTCCTTCTAGGGTGGCCTGGGGCCACTTCAGAAATTTCTGAAGTGGCCCCCTTTTAAAAATTATTCCCTGGGTTGCCCTTATTTCCCTTCTTATAGATGGATGCTATATTTGCCCTTTTCCAGTCTTCTAGAATCTCTGCCACCTTCCATGACTTTCAAAGATGATAGCTAATGGCTTTGATAGCTCCTCAGTCAGCTCCTTGAGTATTGTAGGAACTGAAAGAGAGGCCATTGAGCCTTTGGCCTCTCTTCTGAGACTGCCAACAAGATTGCCAATTAGTGTCTGTTGTGCTTGGGAGGTGGGATGGCTTTGTAGGTATCTGGTAGGTTTTCATTTGAAACCAACTGCAGCTGACCACAGAAGAATTCTTTTCTTGTTTCTCTTTCTAGAGGGTTAACAACCTAAACATCATACAAATGTTAACCCATTTCAATGATTACCAAAATGATGTAGACTCAAAATATGAGCTAGAAGAAAAAGGGCCTATACATTACTTAATTAGATCCTAGTAATGATGTCTCTCAAAGTTTTGATTCAGGGCTGCTGGTTAATTCATTGTCACCATTCTATCAATGCTAAATTTCAAACCTATGAATAGGATATTGCACTTGTAAAGTATCAGTCTTCCTTTTTAAAGGAACATTTGATGTAACCTGAAATTTTTCTTTCAGGTATTTCAAGGATGTGGTCAGCCTAAACCAGCTCCTGCTTTAAGATCTTCCCGCTCTGTTCCTGAGAACTTTAATACCCGCTTTAGGCCATACAATCCTGAGGAGAGACCAACAACAGCAGCTGGCACAAGTTTGGATAGACTGGTAAGTACTAACATTTGCTATCTTCTCTCATTAGGCTAACAGAGATGGAGAGGAATTTTGCTATGAGAATATCCTTCACATGAAATGTTTAATGTTTTCATAATTACCTATAGGTAATTATCCTATACTCTGTGCAACTTTGTAGTAAACAAATGACTTTTTTACACTGAAGGAAATACATCTCTTTGGATGATAGTATGTATCAGATCTGATATACAGGCAGTCCCTGGGTTACATGGATCCCGACTTACATCGGATCCCTACTTACAAATGGGGTGAGGCAACCCCGCACTAGCTGCTTCCCCCCAGCAGACCAGGGAGACGCGGAGTGGCTTTTCTCAGCAGACATCTCAGCTTGAGAATAAAGGACTGAGGGAAGTGAGGTGTGGGAGAATAAAACTGAGCTCTGGAGAAATGTTTGGCTAGAGTTTCCCCTACAATATGTACCAGTTCCGACTTACATACAAATTCAACTTAAGAACAAACCTACAGTCCCTATCTTGTACGTAACCCAGGGACTGCCTGTATTGGAAAGATTGGAAAGTAATAAACTCTTTCCTCACAGTCATGAATTAAATGATTAAAAAAATACTTATCAATATGTATTTCATTTGAAAAAAATGTATATATCAGATCTCCATTTAAGTATTAAATTAAGGATTCAGCAGCCCATTCTTTGGCATATACACTTATAAAGTGAATTTCTCATTCATTAGGTCCAGTGCTTCATTATAATGGCTATTTGTAAAGTTACAATTGGAAGTTTTTTATACCATGCTTAAAAATAGACTTTTGATCAGCTAGTGATCACTGATCTTGCCTTATTTATTCAGTAATATAAAATAATTTTAATTATTTCAAGTCAGTGGATTCGTTTCTCAGACAAGAATATTCCTGCTATCTGTACACCTATAAAGTGGATTAAAAGATCCATAAATATTAATGGTATTACTTTGCAGTTATCATAGTGAAAAGATGATAGCATTGAGGACCTAAAGCACCTAAACAGTTCAAGCGCAAGGCTCCCCTGCATGGAGGCACATACAGCAATGTGACTACAGCAAACTGAAAGGTCACTGAAGCCAGGAGGAGTTTGCAGTGCTCAAGGCATTCAGTTACAAGATATAGATGGGCCAGCAGGAGGAGAGGGGTTAAAAAGGAAAGTTGATAGTAGTCGTTGTTCTGCTTGAACTGATACTATATATTGGGAGCAATAAAAGCATTTTTTTCCACTTAAAAGGAGATCCGTGTTCCTTATGCATAAAATGAGAATACTGCTAGAACCACTGACACCTTTTACAGGGTAAAACCTTTTAAGCTGTAATGCAAAGTAAATAAAATAGCAATGGAGCACATTCATCTGTAATTGGCCTTCCACGGCTGTAATTAAGGCAAACTTTCAATACAGACAAGGCTTTAACCAATGATGGGCAACCAAGAATGGTTAGTGGGCCACATGAGTGGCTCTCCTTCATCTCAGTGGGCCAGCAGCCCACGGTCCACTGGGATTCCACCTGCAGCTCCGTGGCCCCCTGTCTGGCCTTCCTCCACATGCTTCTCACACACTGGGGCACTGGAATCCTTCCTACCACCATTTTTGGAGCGACGTGAATCTCCTGATTTGCCCTCCATCCCTGCTCCTCCATCTCCCTCTCAGAGCTTGAACAGCCACGATTCCGAACAGCTGATTTGCAGCATTCCAGCTCTAGGAGGGAGAGGGAGAAGCAGGGACGGAGGGCAAATCAGGTGATTAGTGGCATTCCGAAAGTGCTGAGAGGGAGGGTAGAAGTAGGAAGTATGGAGTTCCAGTGTGCAACAGATGCTTGGGGGGGAGTAGGGCAGAGAGAGGGCCCACAGATCGCAGGTGGAACTACGGCCACAGGCCACTGCTTTATACCCTGTGACCTCATTGACTCTCAGTGGGGAATTTGGTCCTATTTGACTTGACCAAATTTTTTCCCCCAAGTTTTTGACAGGAGCAAGTTTATCCTTGATATTCTCACTTAACAAAGTCTTCTTCCTAGTGAGATTTAAATTGGAAACTGTTATTGTCCTTGTAGCTATTAATAGCTGTATCTAGTACAGATCTAAATAATAGTATCCTTACTGTTATCTCCTTTTGCCCAGTCCAGCATCCACAAAGTGAGAGGTTGCCACTGTCTTCAGCTGGAATTGCAACAGGATTCTCAATGGATTGGGGCATAAGGTTTTCTTTCAGAATGATGCTTTGAAAAGTTCATTACCAGTGTCTCAGACCAAGGAGTGTACATTTCCCAGAAAGATTTAATGCTATTATTTTTTTAAATAGCAATATGAACAGGCTGATGTTCTAAACAAAATTCTCAGTGTGTGTATGTTTACTGGTTTGTATGCCACTCACTTTTGTTTGCTCAATTCATATAAATTTACAACAAAATAACTCACTATTTTGATAGGCAGTGTACTATAAATCTAGCCTCCTTTGTTTTTTGTTTGTTTGTTTGTTTGTTTGATTGTTTGTTTTTTGCAAACAATGCCAAAAAAATGCAAAAAGCTAATAATACCTCCCTTTCTTTCATGGTAGCTTTTTCTTTGTTTCATTTGTCTATCCAACTCTCAATTTATTCTTGAAATTCTGTCAAATCATTGAACATTAAACCATCATAGTAAAGACCAAAGATACATAGACTCTGAAAAGTGAAGTGACAGACAAAACTGTTATCATTAGAAGGATTAGTCTTTGACAGCATACTCTCAGAAGAAAATAAGTTATTCACATAATTTCAGATGCAAATACACTGTAATATGTATTTAAGCCAGATTTGAGCAACCACAATTTGAAGCCAGATTTTCAAGACATCTCAGCTACCTTTCAGAAACTTGAAGGAAGTGACCAGATTTTTCAAAGTACTTAGCACCCAGTAGCTCCTATTAGGTGGCCCAAATATGCAACTCGACAAATGTGTTCCCATGGTCATTAACTTAACTTGTTTTGTTATATCCAGTAGCTTCATTAAAGCTGGGGGAGTTAATACTTAATGGCAGAATAAAAATATTTTGGGAAGACATTCCCAATGGCATTTGATAAATAATAAATCAAAGTCAGACTTGCAAATGTGAAAATGAAATATCAAAAAAGTAAAATTGGCTTGTATTTAGCTTAACACTTGATCAGATATGCTTATGATGACAGGCTTAGCATGTATACTCAGTTTTCACTGCTAATCCATTTACTGTCTTCTGAAATATATTATCTAACAATTCTCATTTATAACAAACTGCTTGTAAAGACATTTTATCTTCTCTGTGGTTAACTGTTTGGTATAACCTGATATGTTTTTTTTTCTTCTGTTCCCTGAATATGTTTTCCTCTTGCTTCCCAGAGGACTATCTGGAGGACAATGCAACATGGTGTAAGCTTTGGTATTCTTATTCTTCACTTCCACCCATTTGTCTTTGTACAATATTGCTGGACAAACTATTACTTCTTGTTGCATCTCTACCATTTTTCTTTGTTTAACTGTAGGCTAAATACAAGCTGTGTCTTTCGTAATTGTAGATAGGTTAATTGAATTATGAGTAGTGCTTAAACTTTATAGTTTTTTTTCCACATCATTCTTCAGTGCCAAAGATGGTTTCTGATCTATCTGGCTATGTCTACACTACCAGATAATTTCAAAATAAGTTATTTCATACTCCTGAAATAACTATTCCGAAATATTCAGAAGCTTCAGGGGATACCTGAGTTACTCTGTACAGGAATAAACAACAAATGGTCTGGTAGCACTTTATAGACTAACAAAACATGTACAGTAAAACTCTATTGGTCTGGCATCTGATGGTCCGATGTGCCCCTCGGCGCTGCGGAACCAACCCGGCAGCACCCTAGCTGCTCTGCCCCAGGCGTCCCCAAGAGCAACTGAGGTGCTGCCGGTTTGGTCTCACAGCGTCAAGGGTTGGCGCTACCGGACCAACCTGGCAGCCCCCCAGCTGCTCTGCCGCAGGCATCCCGATTCAGCTGCTGCTGAAACGGACCAGCAGTGGCTGAATCAGGACGCCTGGAGCAGAGCCGGACTATCGGAATGGGGGGCTACGAGGGGTCTGGTGTGGCATCCCCCCCATACCACCCTAGACCCCTCATAGCCCCCCCTTCCGATAGTCCGGCATATCTGATAATTCGGCACCCTCTGGGTCCTAAAGGTGCCGTATTATCGGAAATTTACTGTAGATGGTATCTTAAGCTTTCGTGGGCACAGCCCACTTCTTCAGATGACTGGAGTTTTGAGTTTAGGATGTGCAGACCACAAAATAAATAGGAGGGTGGGGGAGGTAAATGAGCAGAATAGGAGACAAGGAGCAGAGGGTATGGAAAATCCCTTTGATTTTTCCATGCCCTCTGCTCCCTGTCTCTCACCCTCCCTCTTACCCCTCCCCTATTTATTTTGGGTCTGCACATCCTAAACTCAAAACTCCAGTCATCTGAAGAAGTGGGCTGTGCCCACGAAAGCTCATGATACCATCTACATGTTTTGTTAGTCTATAAAATGCTACCTGACCATTTGTTGTTTAGAAATAGCATGTCCACACTACAGGGAAGCCTCAAAATTAGTCCAAGGCAGGCTCCCTTAATATACAGGCAGTCCCCGGGTTACGTACAAGATAGGGACTATAGGTTTGTTCTTAAGTTGAATCTGTGTGTAAGTCGGAACTGGTGTCCAGATTCAGCCGCTACTGAAACTGATCAGTTTCAACAGTGGCTGAATCTGGACACCAGTTCCCACTTACATACAAATTCAACTTAAGAACCCCATGTATCCCCAAGTCAGCTGCTGCTGAAACTGATCAGCAGCTGATTCCAGGAAGCCCGGGGCAGAGCAACTCTGCCTCGGGCTTCCTGTAGTC